TTTCTCTTTCTTTCTTTCTTTCTTTCTTTCTTTCTTTCTTTCTTTCTGTGGGACACTTCACAAATTTGCATGTCATCCTTGTGCAGGGGCCATGCTAATCTCTGCAGTTTCAATTTTAGTATATGTGTTGCTGAAGCGAACACTGATCACTGGATTTCTTAAGTGCTACATAAAAGAACATTTTTCCTCAGCTTAAAATGAAATATTGAAATATATATGAATAAATACCTAAATGTGCTAGGCACTAGGAAAAAGTTATGCAACATTGGGTATAGCCATGAGATAGAATTTTCACCAAAAATGTGACAAATATTTACAATTGATAACATACAGGCCTACCCTATATACCGTACAAGGACTAAGTGCAGCACAGTGTTGTTGTTTTGTTTTGTTTTTTAATTTTATTTTGTTATGTTAGTCACCATACATTACATCATTAGTATTTGATGTAGTGTTCTATGATTCAGTTTGCGTATAACACCCAGTGCTCCACGCAGAACGTGCCCTTAATACCCATCACCAGGCTAACCCATCTCCCCACGCCCCTCCCCTCTAGAACCCTCAGTTTGTTTCTCAGAGTCCATAGTCTCTCATGGCTCGTTCTCCCCCTCCGATTTCCCCCCCTTCCTTTTTCCGAGGGAGACAAACCATTAAGAGACTCTTAATCTCAGGAAACAAACTGAGGGTTGCTGGAGTGGTGGGGGGTGGGAGGGATGGGGTGGCTGGGTGATGGATATTGGGGAAGGTCTGTGCTATGGTGAGCGTTGTGAATTGTGTAAGACCGAAGAATCACAGGCCTGTACCTCTGAAACAAATAATACATTATATTATATGTTTAAAAAAAAAAGATAGTAGGAAGAGAAAATGCAACACAGTTTTTATAGCTATATCCTGACCTACCAACTCTACATTTGTAAATTCATACTAAAAACTATAAAGAGATATGCAATGATTTGGCTCTAAGAATATATATAACATTCTTGCTTATAGTATCAAAAACTTGGGAAAAACTTATTTATACAGATTAGTAAAATTAATGTTGGGAGTCTCTATCAACATTCTTTTCAGCCCTTAAGAATATTATAGATGAATATTTATTGGCATTGGAAAATAATTTATTGTTCATTTCTTAAGAATAGGTTATAAGAAAGTATATAAAGTTTAAATTTTTATAAAATAAAATTACATGTATCTATATACATAAGATGTAATTCTAAGGCCAGACACTGAAAGAGTAACATGGTTTATCTTTGGGTAGTGGATACTATGGGTTGTTTTTAAAAATTTTGTCTTGACTTTTCTTTATTTTTCACTTTTATTTTTAATGCTAATGAAGGTTATAGTAGAAAAATAGCAGAGGTGCAGATTACCAAGCATCTTTAATATTCTGCAAAGGACCTAAAATTTTATTCTGGATGTAACAAAAATATTCCAAGTTTTTAAGGAAGGGAAGCAAAATGGTCAGATGAATAGCTGAGAAGATATCCAACAGTTGGTATCAAAGTTTCTCTAATCCGAGAAACTGTTTCTCTTTTTATATAAATAAAGATTTAGATAACTATTTCAAAATGGCAGATAAAGTCCTGAAAATAGGCCTGAAAAAGGATAGGTAAACAAGGTAGAAGCAAAACCACTCCACATAAGAAATGATCAGGAAGGTAAAGATGAGGGATATCAGAGAAGACAGGGGGCACAGTGAGACTAGAGGAGAGAGAAAACAAGAAATATTAGAGAATATGGCAGAAGGCCAGGATTGCATAAAATCATGTCTGCTGAGAAGTTTCCAGTGGTGGGGAGGCTGAAGTAATTTTTAGCACAGAAATATCAAACACTGCATTCTTAGTTGGTTCCAATGCTCTGATATAAACCTGCTCCTTCACCTACACCTTCAGTAAAGTCCAAGTTCACACAGGTCAGGATGGAGGTGTTTAAAGAATCAAGTTTGGAGCCATAAAGGCCAGTCAGTGAGTGTTATTCAGAGAGACCTGAATCAATGCTCCATTTTTCAATTTCTGTGGGAACTTGGGCAAATGTCTTAATGAGATGCTGCTCTACAAAAATGTCAGTAAATATTATTTATTGACTGCTAACCATGTGCCAAGAAGTATTCTAAGGGGTGTTACAGGTATTTCTTCACTTAATCTTCAAGATAACCGCGTAAAGGTATAATCTGTTTTATTTATACCCTCAGTGTGCCTCAGGTGAGAAAACGAAGGCACACTGGGGTTAAATGACTTATTTGAGGTCACGGAGCTTGACAGTGAAGAAGCTGGAATTTAAACCAGTTATTCTAGTTCCAGAGCATGTACTTTGATCCACCCATGTTCTACTGCTCTTTGGAGGCTGGTCACAAGGTAGAGAGGACTAAGTAAGATGACATATGCGAATGCCAAGCACCCTGACTACGACAGATAAAGATGCTCAGTAAATTTTAATTATATTTCTTTTCTCTTGAATCCACTCTGTATTTATAAAACTTGTTCATAAAAAGTCAAAGGGTTTCTGTCAAATGTCTTTAAGCTTATAGACAGTATTATTTTTTCTATTTTCCTGACCAAGAAATAAAAGAATTCCATGAAACAAGGAAAAAGGAGATTAGATACATCTTATTCCCTTCAAACAAACTCTATTTTCTTTTCTGTTCTGTTTTAGGATTTTATTTAAAATGGAGTCCGTTGAGTTTTAATTTATATATTTATCAAAGTAGAGTAACATACCTTATTTCATTTGCTCCCCATGGCAAGATCAATAAGACAGACATTTTTCACTTCATTTCTGTAAATGGGGAAACTGAGACTCAGTGAAGTAAATGCCTTCATCAAGACCATGTGTGTGGCAAGGCAGGGAGTTGTATTGAAAGTTGGGATATCTGGTTCGAGTCCAGGGCTTAACTGTCAGGATCAAATTTTTTTTTTTTTTTTACAGTTGTCATGGCCAACTAAATATATGTATATATATATGGAGAGAGAGAAAGAGAGATGGAGACAAAATACAGTATGCAAACAAAACTTTTGTTCTAGATATGCAATATATGTGTACAAAAAAATCAGGCAAATTTTCTAAGTGTAACACAGTATGTATCAAAAATAAAATATTTTTAGACCAGTTTTATCCAGTTACTGGGTGTCCAGTTATTGATGACCTTGCTTCCATTCATTAGGGTAAATAATTAAGAAAGACTGCATTTAGAATTTCCCACATAAAATAATTACTATAGATAAAGTAACTGAATCTTAAAGCAGAAAGAAAACAAAAACTGTAGGAATAAAAAAATCAAAGGCCTAGACAATCTATTAAATTAAATGATAGCAATTTTTTTCTCCTAACCACTAACAGTTCTGTTGAGCTGAAATCTGAAAATGTTTAGAATTCTTACTTAAATATAGTTAAAACCATTAACAAATCTCTGTAGCAAATAGACTTTCCATGTCCGCAGAGTCACTTAATAGCTGACAAATAGTTTCTAATAGGGTCTATCTTAATTGGTACTTGAACTTTTTGCCTTAAGTTTATTTGGCTTCTGTCATCATTCCTGTCTTATCAACTGAAATGTCTAGCTCCCTTAAAGCTTACTATACCTTGCACATGCTTTACGTGTTTACGTTACAGCCTTTTGGACATTTCCCCCTTGTTCTTGATCGAGGCATCGACAGTGTGATTTGTTACAAAAAAATTAGCTCTAAAATCTGCATGTACCAAATATTTACTTTATTCAGTCTTGAAGTCCATCCAATTTCATAAAACCCAACACACACATTCCACAACCTGACAGACAAACAGAGTATGGTACTTACACACATAATCACTTTATTATAGCAGATGCCAGAGAGTGGTCTTTGATCAGTCCTCAGAATTTTACCCAGGTTGCAGTAAAAGTATGGTGACTTTTATTCCTTTGCTTTCCCAAGCATCTCTAGCTGGTAAGTTGCTTAGATTTATGTACAAGGATTCTATAGAATAGAGAGCCACTAAACTACCTCCAGGATTGTTACCCACCATTCCTTGCTACAGCTACACCACCTCTGCTTCCCAGCTCAGAGCAGTCTGTCCTGCTTTCCATTCCTTTCACTTGTCGGGCTCAAGGACAGCTTCTGATTTTCCTTGCTGGGGAGGCATCCATCAATGCATCCATTATCTCTTCCAACATATTTACATGCTGCCTGTGCTCAGCTAATTGAGACTTTGCCAACAGCTCACAAGGCACTTGGCCCCCAACTTACAGCTGGGTAATGTGGTGAAATATCAGGATAGGTAGTACATGCTACTTAATAGCACATGCTAGAATTATTAAAGACTGGGTACAACAGTAGGCATGACATTAAGCTGGATGCCAGAGAAACTTTAGACTCCTGGGCTGTGACTTTAGGAACCACCCTGTCCCTCAGAACTGGCCACTTCAGCCAATTCGCTTCAGCCCGGAAAAAAAGCAAAGGGTTGTTGATTTTTTTCTTTGAACCTGTGCAGAAGGAAAATGTTCAGCTGGTTGGATGACTCTACTCAGTTCAAAACATATTCAATTTAGTGAAATGGCATTCTAAGTCATTAAAATAGCTATCACTGGAAAAGAGACACAATTACATATATGCATATATACTGATATATTTCTATATATTATATAGTTAATACATAACTTATGAGAATTCTTCAGTTTTTGTTTATTTAGGTTTTTTAAAAAAGGCTTTATTTATTTGAGAGAGAGAGATAGCAGAAGAGCACAAGCAGGAGGAGTGGGAGAGGGAGAAGCAGGCTCCCCACTGAGCAGGGAGCCCAATGTGGGGTTCAACCCTGGGACTCTGATCATGACTTGAGCCAAAGGCAGACAATCGACTAAGTCATGCAGGTGCCCTGAGAATCCTTCAGTTTTAAAAACGGTTTAATTTTTCTGGTTATAGAAATTCTAATGTTCAAAAAATTATGTTGAAATTATAAAATTCTAGGCATTCTCTCTCTTTAGGTGAAACAACAAAAAAGCTTTGATATACTCTGTTTTTCAAATGTTCAAAACAATAACAACACATCTCATTTATTACTCAGGTAGAATCATGCTACTTTTCCAAAATAGGCCCTTTAATGCTTTATGTATTTGTATATATTTTCCAATTAGTAAATTAAAAATAACAAATATAAATAAAATGAGTTATGA